AAGCCTACCCGTTCTCAATTGGCACTGTCTGTTGTGAAGAGCCCAGTTTTGATTTCGACGAGTGGTCGTATGAACAGGAAGTTTTTGATGACAACACAGGTGCTAAATTGCCAGAGCAACTCGTGAAAAGCAATGACGAAAGAAATCGACGAATACAAGAAACATGAAGTCTACGTCAAAGTCCCCAGATCAGAAGCATTTGAGGTCACAGGGAGACCCCCCATCTCAACACGATGGGTAATTGTGAACAAAGGAGACGAGACAAATCCAGAAATCAGAGCACGATTGGTAGCTAGGGAGGTGAAGCGAGACAAACGCACAGATTTGTTCGCAGCCACACCCCCGCTTGAGGCGAAAAAGTTTCTGTTCAGTCAGGTGGCAACCCAAAGGGTCCACAAATCAGGCAAACCTTTCAAGATTCGTTTCGTTGATGCTGTTCGTGCGTATTTCCACGCAGATGCCATCCGGGACGTGTACATTGAGCTTCCGGAGCAAGATTCCGAACCCGGGATGGTAGGCAAACTGGCTCGTTGCATGTACGGGACCAGAGACGCAGCTCAAGGTTGGGAACGGTTCTACACTAGAGTGTTGACCCAAGCCGGATTCATTCAAGGTCGTTCTAGTCCTTGCATTTTCTACGAACCTATAAGGGACGTGCGAGTAGTTGTGCACGGCGATGATTTTACAGCTTCCTCAGACGACGACGGCCTTGAGTGGCTCACAGAGGTGTTGAAAGCATCGATGGCCTTAAAAGTAAAGGCAACTCTTGGGCCGGAAGACGGCGACGACAAGAGCGTCCGGATTCTCAACAGGATCGTGTCTTGGACAGGAGATGGCATTGAATACGAATGTGACCAAAGGCACATTGAGCTAGTCATCAGAGACAGTGGCATCCAGGAAGAGCGATCGAAGACGTGCTCCACTCTTGGTGTCAAGGAAACGTTAGATTCTGACTCTGACCTCAGACCACTTTCTCCAGAAATGGTTAAATCATTCAGATCCCTGTGCATGAGAATAAATTACGTAGCACAAGACAGAAGCGACATTCAGTACGCAGCGAAAGAGCTCGCGAGAGGAATGCAACAACCAACGTTCGGCCATTGGAACAAAATGAAGCGACTTGCGCGTTATTTGAAAGGCCGACCAAGGATCATTTTACAATACCCGTTTCAAGAAGCATGTTCGTTTTTAGATGTACTTGTTGACACAGACCATGCAGGATGTATAAGAACACGCAAGAGCACAAACGGAGGAGCACTAATGTTTGGCTTGCACACAATAAAATCTCGGAGCAGCACACAAAGCGTGATTGCACTAAGCTCCGGGGAAGCAGAATTTTACGGAATAGTAAAAGGTGCAAGTGTGTTGTTAGGAGCTTTGTCATTATCATCTGACTTTGGCATTGTTTTGAAAGGGCGTCTGAGCACTGACAGCTCAGCAGCAAAAGGGATCGCATCCAGGCGAGGACTGGGTAAAGTGAAACATCTTCACACCCAGTATTTGTGGGTTCAAGAGAGACTCGCAAACAACGATTTCGTCATCCGAAAATCGGCACTGACGACAACCCCGGCGATCTCATGACAAAGTACTTGGACAGACCGAAACTCGACCGATTCGTAAGAGGACTCGGCTACACCACTCGAGACGGAAGACACGAGCTAGCACCACAGCTTGCGAATCAAACTCTTGATTTGAATTTGTTGGAAGAGCAGGAATGGCTTGAGCCTGGCTCTGCGCAAGCAACCAGAAACAAGAGCAGAACGATGTTCTTTGACATCAGCGGCAATGCGCTCAAGAAAGCGTAACCGCAGCATCCGTGAATCCCCGCTCCACTACCTAGGTTAGTAAAGCCATGTAGAGTAGGCAAACACCGTGTGCGAGGAACTGCTCGCCCGAGGTGTAGGAGGAGTGTGGGGGAATATACTCACCTTGTGTATCGTAGCAGAACTGTGCGCGATTCCGCAGCCATTTCAGATCTCAAGAAAAGGCATCAAAATCATAATATCATTTCAACGCGCGCGCGTGGTTCCAGTCTCCGCATCACACCGCGGCTGCGCCTCTCGCGTGCACGCGGAACTGGGCTTTCATGCAGTACACTTGGCCCCACGGGGGGCGGATGCCGGCGTATGGTCTTGCGGAATCGTAAAGAGCGAGCGGTCGTGCAGAATATGGCCACGGCACGCGCAGTGGCAGACACACCCTCAATGGAGGGAGGGGAGAAGGAGGAGGAGAAGGAGGAGGAGAAGGAGGAGGAGGAGGAAGAGGAGAAGGACGAGGAGGAGGAGGGGGGAGGAGGGGGGAGGAGGCACATGGAACTCCAGGCGTCTGCTCATCAGATCTAGCCGCACGACGCCGGCTCGTCGAGCGCAATGGTTCAGCAGCCAGTTTTTCTCGCGGCTGACGCGCAGGGTGCTTTCCATGGCAGGCTCGCGCGGCTTTGGCGCGGCTTGCGATGCCTGCGCCCACGTCACGAAGAGGGCCGAAAGATCCTGCAGACCTGGAACCTCAATCCCCGAGCATGATTCCCTGACGGCCTGGCCTCGACCAACGCTGCCACGCCTAGAAAATGTACAGGCGCAGCTGGTGCCACTGCTGGCTCGTATGCTTCTGGTCCTGTTCCGGCAGTCTCAGAAGCCACCGCCCCTTGCGGCATCGAACTCGCACAGCGATAGCTCGGGGGGGGGTACAGTTCGATCTATCCGATTCGATGCCGATGATGGCCGGCCTGACCCGATTCGATTCCGATGTTCTGTCGAATTGATGCGGCCCGACGGTTGCATGGCGTTGTCGTACATCTTGGCGCGGCCGATTCGGTTCGATTCCGACTCCGTGACAATGCGGCCCGATCTAGCGCATGTCCCGGCCCGATCCGATTTCCGATTCGATCCTGTTCAGTGTTTCGATGCCCCCCCTCGAGGACGGAGGGCAGCACGGGAGAGAGGGGACAACCTCTCCTTTGGGTTGGTTTGTCATCGTGAGTAGTTATTCCCATCCATCCTGTGTGTTGGGTCGTCTGTTTGCAGACAGCACCCCGGGTCCTCACTCCCCCGATCTACATTACACAATATGAATACTACTCTTCCTCCTCTCCTCTCCCCCTCCCTCCCCATCCCTGCTTCTGCCCAACGCATGCACATTTCGGCACACCCCTAACACGTTTCGTGGCCCCATAGCAAGTTTCACCGAAGCTATCGGGGGGGGGGGGGGGGGGCGGTTCACCACCAAGTTCGGCACACCCGTCGCGCGTTTCGTGGCCCCACTGGGAGTTCCACCGAACCCCTCAGGAGGAGGGTTTCGCATGCAGTTCCCCGCCCATGTCGGCACACCGCTCACACGTTTCGTGGCCCCATGGGGAAGTCGACCACAGCCCCCAGGAGGGGCGTTTCGCATGTGGTTCCTCATCCGTGCCGGCACACCCTCACCCACCGAAGCCCCCAGGAGGGGGGGTCGCATGCGGTTCCCCACCCATTTCGGCAGACTATTCACACGTTTCGTGGCTCCATAGGGGGCTCCACCACAGCCCCCAGGAGGGGGGGGTCACATGCGGTCCCCCGCCCATGTCGGCACACCCCTCACGCGCTTCGTGGACCCATGGGGCTCCGCCGAACTCCCAAGAAGGAGGGTTTCGCTTGCGGTTCCTCGCGCATTCCGGCACACCCCTCACACGTTTCGTGGCCCCACAGGAAGTTGCACGAAGGCCCTCAGGGGGGGAGTCACATGCGGCTCCTCATCCACTTCGGCAGACCCCTCACACGATCCGTGGCCCTACAGGGAACTCCACCGAAACCCTCAGGGGGGGGTCGCATGCGGTTTCCCGCCCAGCTCGGCACACCCTTCACACGCTTCGTGGTCCCATATGGGGCTCCACCGAAACCCTCAGGTGGGGTCGCATGCACACCTCCGCACTTTCCGTGGCCCCACTGGGAGCTCCATGGAGGCCCTCAGTAGGGGGGGTCGCATGTAGTTCCCCACCAATCTAGGCACACCCCTCATTCGTTTCGTGGCCCCACATGGAGGTCCACCAAAGCCCCCCCAGGGGGCGGTTCGAATACGGTTTCCCACCCATCTCGGCGCACCCCTCAAACGCTTCGCGACCCAATAGGGAGGTCCACCAAAGCCCTCAGGAGGGGCGTTTCGCATGCGGTGCCCACCGATTTCGGCGCACCCCTCACACGTTTCGTGGCCCCACTGGGAGCTCCACCAAAGCCCCCCGGAGGGGGGGGTCGCATGCGGTTCCCCGCCCACATCGGCACACCCCTCACACGCTTCGTGGCACTATAGGGAGCCCCACCGAAACCCTCAGGTGGGGAGAGTTGCATGCGGTTCCCCACCCATGTCGGCACACCCCTCACATTCGTGGCCCCATAGGGAGCTCCACCGAAACCTTCAAGGGGGGGTCGCCGTATACTGTTCCCCGCCCAGTTCGGCAAACCCTTGAAATTCCGTGGCCCCAAAGGGAGCTCCACCGAGGCCCTCTGGGGGGGGGGGCACTTCGGCACACCTCTCACACGCGTCGTGGTCCATAGAGAGCTCACCGAATTCCCCAGTGGCAGCGCCCGCATGCGTCCCCGCGCCCCCTTTGGCGACAACGCGGCAGTCCCAGCTGCATATGGTGGGTTCCTCGCCTGGATAACCACGGCCCCGGGGCCCCGTGAGGGCCCTCGGAGGCCGAGAACGACGAACAGGTGCCGCGCTGATGCCTCCGAGACGTTGGGCGCCTGGGAGCCTCGATTCCCCCCCCCCTCGAGGACGGAGGAGGAGCACAGGACGCGGGGGGGCTGGGAGCCTCGATTCCCCCCCCCCTCGAGGACGGAGGAGGAGCACAGGACGCGGGGGGGGGGGGAGCCGAGGAGGAGGGGAGGAGGAGGAGAGAGGAGGAGGAGGGAGGAGGAGGGAGGAGAGGAGGGAGGAGGAGGACGAGGAGGAGGAGGAGGACGAGGACGAGGACGAGGACGAGGAGGGGAGGAGGAAAAGGAGGAGGAGGGGGCAGCGTATCCGAGGCCCCGGCGGCCGACGGCGAGGCGGCGGCCGCGGGCGGCGGCGTCGAGGGCGCCCCAGGCGAGGAGCAGGAGACCGGCTGGGGCGGGGGCGGGCGGGGGGCCCCTGGCGCGGGGGCAAGAGCAGAGAGGCAGGGAAGGGAGCACGAGCACGAGCCGTCGGAGACCCTCCTCCTCCTCCTCCTCCTCCTCCTCCTCCTCCTCCTCCTCCTCCTCCTCCTCCTCCTCCTCCTCCTCCTCCTCCCTCCTCCTCCCCCTCCCCCTCCTCCTCCTCCTCCCCCTCCTCCTCCTCCCCTCCTCCTCCTCCCTCCTCCCCCTCCTCCTCCTCCTCCTCCTCCTCCTCCTCCTCCTCCTCCTCCTCCTCCTCCTCCTCCTCCTCCTCCTCCTCCGCCTCCTGCTGCCCCGGCTCTTGCTGCTGATGTCCTTCCACACTGCGCGCGCGCAAATAGTGGAGGCGGGGGGAAGGAGGGCCAGGATCCGCGGATCTCTTGGATCTGCGGTGGGCCGCTCTGGCGGCGGCTCCGGTGTCGCCTCTGGCGCGCTGCGCGAGCCAGGGAGGGGGGGTGCAGCGCCGATCCAAGAAGTCCGCGCGGATCTACGAGAGTTCATGCTTGCGTCGTTTCCTTAGTTTGGAGAAGCGGCGACGACGACGAGCTGCGAGGGCCGATGTTTTTGCCTGTTGTTGGCCCCCTGGGGGGGCCTCTGGGATGCCTCTCGTCGCCAAGGCCCGTTCCCCGAAGTTCTGGCCAGAGAGCACTCCAGGACAGGTTTGGCAGCCAGTGTTTAAGGAGGGGCCCAGGCCCCGTCGCGTCGCGGATCAGCAAAAGACGACGGGAGATTGTTGGCCATTGTCGGCCTCCTAGGGGGGAGTGCAGGTTGAGCCGATCTGCAGGTGTGCTGGTGTGCGTGGTGCACCGCGAGAGCTCCAGAAAGATGCTCTACTACCCCCTCAGGCGATGCCAGTGGGGGGTCACCACTGAGAGGGTCGAGGTCGACGACATGTTGGACGATCCTGGGCGTTCTGAGCGGGGGGGCTTTGGGGGTCCTGCGGGGTCGTCCTAGTCCAGGAGAGGGCGACCCCAATTGCGGTGGCCCTCCCTTGGCATTGCCTGGCCCACCACCACCACCACCACACCACCACCGCCACTGACCCCGCGCTGCCTTCGCCCTCCAGATGGTGGTGGTGCTGATGCGCTCCTTCGTCCCCATACACCGAGGGTATCTCAGACCTCCGGCGGATTGATTTCTGCATGCCGATAGGTTCGGGTTGTCGGACATCATGTGATGGCCTTCGGCCCAACCCGCCAGAGCGCCTAGGTTATTGGTCAGAGACCTCTTGAGTGCCTGTGTGGATATCTTGGGGGGCCTCTCAGAAGCATGTGGGAGACGGTTCTAGGGGTGTCTTGGGGCCTCTAGGGGCTTCTTGGGCCTGAGTTGGGCCTCTTGGTGCTGGCGGTCTCTGGGGTCATCTTGGAGCGGAGGGCGCGAAACATCAGTTCAAGCTCCACCTGTTGGGGCCCGTCGTCATCATTAGTCGTCGTTCGCCGTGGGCGTTGTCGTCGTCGGCGTCGGCCGAAGCCACCGAAGGATTTCTGGACCTCCAGAAAGCTCCCGAGGCCTCTGGACGGCGTCGGTTGTCCGTCGTCGTCGTCGCAACTCCCGACTTCTCGAACGAATTCAGGCCGGTACCATCGCCAGCCGCGGCTCTGTCGAGGCAGCGAGGCAGTTTGGCAGTTTCGAATCGGACGTCGGCCCTAGAGTGACATCGCAGTATAACTCGTGGACGGCGTGGTCGGCGTCGTCGGTCATCGGTAGCCGTCGTCGTTCGTCGTCGTTCGTCGTCGTTTGTCGCCGTCCTTCGTTGGTGTCGTTGCCGTTCGTCGTCGTCGCGTTCGTCGCGTTCGTCGTCGTCGTCGTCATACGTCGTTCCTGGTCGTCGTTCGTCGTCGTCATCGTCGTTCGTCGTCGTCGCCATCGGTCGTCGTCGTTGTCGTCGTCATTCGCCGTCGATCCTCGTTGCCGTTCCTCGTCGTCGTTCGTAGCGTCCGCCGTCGTCGTCAGTCGCGGTCGTCGCCAGGGTCGGCCAAGGCCGAGGCCCCCCCGCGCCGGCCCGCCGACGGGTGGCCGGCCGGCCCCGCCCCCCTCGGGAGGACATCTTCGACGACCGCGACTTCTACGTCTCCCTGCTGCGGGAGGTGCTCGCCGACGGAGCGGGCGCCAAGGACCCCTCTTCTCCCCTCTCGGCCGACCTACATCCTCCGACTCCGGCTCCGGCTCCTTTCCCTCGCGCTCCTCGTGGTCCTCGCGCTCATCCTCCGGCTCGTGGCCCTCGATCCTCGTGGTCCTCGATCCTCGTGGCCGTCGATCCTCGTGGTCCTCGCGCTCCTCGCGCTCCTCGTGGTCCTCGATCCTCCGGCCCCTCCTCGTGCGCCCGCTCTCCGCCGTGCGCCTGCTCCCTCCGCAGAGGCCCCCCTTCCCGCAGGCCCCGCGCGGCGCGCGCGCGCTCCTGCGCCCTGGCCCGCCGCGCGCACCACCCCCGGGGCGCTCCAGGCAGGGCCTCGCCTGCGGCGCGTCTCTCTCGCCTCCAGCGGAAGCGCTGTCGAAGACCGATTTCTGACCACATCCACCTCTGGATCCTCGATTCTATGATAGGCCCTCGGGGGTGGAAGTGGGTAGTTTTTCCTTCCCCTGGGGCGGGGAAACTGCCCACCTCCACCTCTGGAAACCGCTTTTCGAAAGGCACCTCGGGAAGTGGGCGTGGTCAGAAATCGGTCTCCTACGCTGGGAAAGCAGCGGCCGGGGCTGCGCCGGCGGAGGCAGGAGGCGGGAGGCGAGACGTCGGCAGCCGAAGGAGAAGAGGCCTCATAGACAGAAGCTCGTGGCGCTCCGCGCGGATTTCTCGGATCCGCGCCTGGCCCCTCGGCGGCGCCGCCGGCACCGCCCCTGGCGCGCTCCGCGCGCCAGGGAGGGGGGCCCGGCGCGGATCCAAGAAATCCGCGCGGAGCGCCAAAAGCTTATGTCTGTGTGGTTTTCTTTTCTTCTGGGCAGGGGGCGAGACATCGGCAGGGTGGGCCCCCCGGGGACTTGGTGTCGCCCATATGCTCAGGCGACTTGGCATCGCTCGGGCATGTGCGTGTTTTTCTCGGCGACGGCCCTCGTGGAGCATCTTGGACCAGGTGGCGGAAAGTATCAGCGCACGAAACCGAAGAATGCACGGGGAATGGCAAGTCGACGTCCTCGTTCGAGGCCTTACAGATGAGGGCACGGGTGCTGTGCACGTGGCGTTGCCGCTCCCCTTCTGGGCGGCCTGCGCCGCCCAGGGGGGGGCGGAGAAGTTAGCATGTGGGTGGCAAGCTGACAGGGCGCGGAGCAGAGAGAAAGCAGGGTGAGCTGGCGACAACGAGGTTCTCCTCGTCATGTCCCTCGGTTGCGTTGTTTCCCGTCTCGCTCGCCAGGCGTTTGGTCGGGCTCATTGCTCGGCGTCAGGGCACGGGCAGCAAGGATCTTTGTCTTGTGCTTCGGCTTCCACGCTCGGTCGCGCGGGGCGGTTCGGCGGTTGGCGCGACAACAGCTTCATCCTCAACCTGCACCGGGCGGCGTGCCAGGGGGACGCGATTCGTCGTCGATGTCTTGATGGCCCTCTCTGGTCACAACGGCAAGGTTGGCAGAAGCGGATAGCGAAACACAAATACGGAGACTCTCAGGTCCTCGCTTTGGGACAGCTTCAGAAACAGTTGGACCAGTGGTGTATTCCCTGGGTCCCTGACTTCTTGACCCACGATGACATCGGGCTCGCCACGCCCTGCACGTGGAGCTGCTACTTCCAGACTTTTGTGCAATGGGTGGTGCACGCGATCACGATCTGGGGCTCGCGGCGAGCGCCGGTTGGGCTGCGGCTGCGCAGAGGACAGCATGCGGCACCTGGCTCGTTGTCCCGTCGCCCGACGCCGGTTCGCCGGGCACGCGGGCGCCCCGCCGCCCGCGCCTGGCCTCGAGCTGGAGGCCTTCCTGGGCGAGCGGGATGCCACTGGCGGCTGCCGGAAGAGGTCCAGCGCAGGGCGTTCGGTCCGTACCGGACCTACAACTTAACGGGCGAAGAACGGTATAAGATAAACTTGTTCGCCGTCGGGGACACCTGCCCCAGGGCGGCTGGAAAGTTTATACCCCTACGGTGGCACCGTAGGGGTATAAACTTTCCAGCCGCCCATGGGCAGGTGTCCCCGACGGCGAAAATGTTTATTGTATACCGTTCTTCGCTCGCTGAACAACGGCAGGCGGCACGGACAGTTGGATGCGTTGTGCTTCGATGGTGCTTTTGCCGAGCATCTCCGCGAAGGCCAGCGCGGCGTCGAACATGCAGGCGGACGGGAGGATATTTCGCGCCTCCGCAAGGGCGGGGTCCGCGGGGGGAGACGCTTTTGCGCGCAAGCATGTACATTTATAATGCTTGCCACAGGCGGGATGCCCCTGCTGGCGCGTTTGTGATTACACGGGTTAGGTCAAGCCCCGGTTTGCAGGCTATTTGTTTCTTCCTTCGTCCCCCCCTCTCCACCACCTCCTCCTCCTCCTCCTCCTCCTCCTCCTCCTCCTCCTCCTCCTCCTCCTCCTCCTCCTCATCATCATCATCATCATCATCATCATCATCATCATCATCATCATCATCATCATCCGCCTCCTCCTCCTCCTCCTCCTCCTCCTCCTCCTCCTCCTCCTCCGTCTCCTCCTCCTCCGTCTCCTCCGCCTCCTCCGCCTCCTCCTCATCATCATCATCATCCTCCTCCTCCTCCATTTCATTTCCCTTTCCTTTAAGTAACTTGTCCCTGTCGCTCCCCGAGGGCAGTTTTCAGGGCGGGCCAGGCGTTTCGCTTGAGACTTCCTCACTACTTATGATTCTGAAGCTGGAGAATTGGCAACAGCTTCACAGATGGATGGCGGGTCGTTTTCAAAATGTGGATCTCGCCATAGCGCGGCGCACATCCGTTTAAAAAATTAGCGAGAGCTTCACGGATTGAGGGCGGCCCGTTTTCAAAATGCGGTTCTCGTAATTTGCGCGGCGCAGATTCGTTTTTTAAAAATGTGCCAGAGTTTCGCGGATTGAGGGCGACCCGTTTTCAAAATGTGGTTGTCGCATTCGCGCGGCGCAAAAAAATCGTTTAAAGCATTGTGCCACAGCTTCGCGGATTGAGGGCGACCCGTTTTCAAGATGTGGTTATCGCATTCGCGCGGCGTGCATTCGTTGAAAAAATCAGCAAGGGTTTCATGGATTGAGGGCGGTTCTTGTTCAAAATGTGGTTCTCGCCTTAGCGCCGCGCACATTCGTCTATAACGTTTGCAAGAGTTTCACGGGCTCTCATCATCAACGTACCAGAAATGTTGTGTTGAAAGGATTCAGGACCATGCGGGTGCAACAGTTACGTTGGTTCGTTGTGTTGAAGTCCTAGGAATGGTCGCTGCTGGTGCAGGCCGCGCAGGCCGCTGCTGGTGCATCGCAGGCAGCGATCGGCACGCCGCGCATCGAGGATGAGGTTCGCCCTGGGCCACTGGCGCGTGGCCGACGTGCGCAGGCGCCCCTGGCGGCATCTGGTAGGGGGGGGAGGGGAGGCCGGAGGAGGCGGAGCAAGGCGACGCAGGGGAGGAGGAGGAGGAGGAGGAGGAGGAGGAGGAGGAGGAGGAAGGAGGAGGACGAGGACGAGGAAGAGGAGTAAGAGGAGGAGGAGCGGACCCGCTCGGAAGCTGGGCGAGGGCTGGCAACTCCGTGGCTAAAGCGGCATTCCGGGGAGAGAAAAACAAGTTCCCTGAAGAAAGCACAGCGCGCTATAGATGCTCAACGGGCTGCTTCCCGGAAGAAAAATCCCGGAGCTCCGTTTTGGCAGCCACGGGTTTGCCGGGGGCCTCCAGACGGGGTGGTGACCACACCGTGTGGTGAGTCAGTGGGGATTCGGGGTCACCGCACGGTTCTGGGACTCGGGTCGTTCTCCGAGGATGTCTCGGGCGACTGGAGCTTCCAGGGTCCCAAAACCGTGCGCTGACGGACCGTGCGGTGAGGTCTTGGGGGGATTCCGAGGTCGCCGCACGGTCTGTCACCGCACCGTTTCGGGACTCCAAAGTTTGCCAGCCTTCGCCTGGCTTCTGGCCCGCGTCGATAGGACGCCCTTGCAGGCGAGACCGCGGGTGCCCGGGAGATCCGGCAGGAGGTTCAAGGCCCTCGCCGCGGGCCTTGGTGGCCGCCGCCGCTGGCCGATCGTCGTCGACGTCGTCGCCGCCGTCGTCATCGCCGTCGTCGTTGTCTTATGTCGGGCCGGTCCCTCTACAGGAGGAAGATTCAAAAATAGTCAGACAATAGTCTGGGGACTATTTTTTCATCATGTTTTGACTATTTGGGGGCGTTCTTGGAGTATTTTTCATTTTTCGTCCAAAGTCCGCCTCTAGGGGGACATGGCCCGACCTTATCGTTGTCGTCGGCGTCGTCGTCACCGCCGCCACCACTGCCGCAGCCGTTGTCCCAGACATCTGGCGTGATCGCCGCGAGGTCGCCGCGGTCGCCGCCACTGCCGCCTTTCGAAAACGATTTCCACAGACAGAACAAAATTACATATGCTTGCCAGAGTGGACCCCAAACACCTGGTTGGTTTTGCACTGTGGATGTGTCAGCGATGTGGTGCAAACATGCGGTGTAAGCTATGTTGTGCAAGCTGTGTGTTGTAAGCTATCTGGTTCAAGCTGTGTGGTGAATGGTATGTGGTGTAATCTGCGTGGTGCAAACTCTGTGGTGCCAGCTCCGTTTTGCAACCTACATGGTGCAGGATACGCGGTGTGGTGCAAGCCGTGTGGTGCAGGCTGTGTGGTGCAAGCTGCGTGATGCAAGCTATCCGGGCGCCGACGAGGCGCCCCCCTCGGGCGGGCACCAGGCGCAACTTCGGCATACCCCACCTCCCTCCTCTTCCTCCTCTCCTCCTCCTCCTCCTCCTCCTCCTCCTCCTCCTCCTCCTCCTCCTCCTCCTCCTCCTCCTCCTCCTCCCCACCCCCAGCGCCCCAGCGCGGGGCGCGCCCACGAGCGGGCACCAGGCAATGCCTCGGCATGCTCCCCCAGCGCGGGGCGCCCACGAGGCGCCCACGGGCGGGCACCGGGCGAGACCTCGGCATGCCTCTCTCCAGCGTGGGGCGCCCACGAGGCGCCCACGGGCGGGCACCAGGCGAGAGACCTTGGCACAGCCCTCCAGCGAGGAGGCGCCCATGAGGCACCCAAGCTTGGCATCGCTCGGACGTGTGCATTTTTCCTTCGGCGAGGACCATCGAGGAGCATCCTTGATCATTTGGCGAAAAAGCCACGCACGAAACCGAAAAAAAAAACATGGAATGGACGTCCGGGCGATGGCAAGCAAGCCGAAAACTCAGAATACCCAGCCAAGCATTTGAGAGCACCAAGGGAGAGCCCCTCAGTGCAGGCGTCATTGGATGAAGAATCAGAACGCCGGGAGTCTGGCATCGTCGTCGCCATCGCCCCTGCCGACTGGTAGGGCTTCTCTGAGTCGGCCAGGGAAGGCCATCAGCGCCGCCAAGATGGCGCAGCATTGCCGCAAGAGGCATCCAGCAGCCCCCCAGTAAACCCCCCGAGTCGCCAAAGGGGCACCAAGAGGATTCCCAGAAGAGGACATGATACCTTCCAGGATGGCCAAAACCATTCGAGTAGCCGAAAGAAGCCGTTCCGGGGTGTTTGAGTATTTTTTCTGTTTCCTGGGCCCCTCGGCTCAAGATGGTTCCGAGAGGGACTCGGAGGAGCCCGTAGCCTTTTTGGCTCAAGATCCCGAGGAGGCGAGGGAGGAGAAGCACCCTCCCCCTTGCCCAGCCTGGTGATCTCCGCGCGCGCGGTGGCCCCGCGCGCGCCGTCCGCCGCTGGGCGCCGCCCCTGGCGCGGCCGCGCGCGGTGCACGCGCGATGTCCGCTGCCGGTGTGCAGCCCGCGAGGCAGCTGTCCTCTGCGGACCATGCTGTCATCGGAGCGCTGGTCGGGTCCATCGAGATGTCGATTATGAAGCCCGCCGTCTTCTGGAAGTCGGAGCTCCAGCAGGGGCGCTTCTCCATCTCGCGCGCCCTGAACCCCGCGTACTGCTACCGTGGCTTGCCCGTGGCGGTGTGCTCGATTGCCCCGGTCACGTGCATTCAGTTCGTGGCGAATAACGTGGCGCTGCGCAGATTTGGGGCGGAGAGTTCGGCTTCGGATAGTCAGCGGCTGGCTGCAGGAGTGCTGTCTGGCTTCGCGTCTGCGCTCGCACAGTCGCCCATGCAGCTTGTGGAGATCAACCAGCAGAACCACGGTTTCAGCATGGTGGCCACTGCCAGGCGCATCGTGGAAGCGCATGGCTTCCGCGGGCTGTACGTTGGCTACCCCATGACAGCCATACGAGAAGGCATATTCGTCACCTCGTACATGGCCGCCGCGCCGCTCCTGAGGAAGCGTCTCAAGGAGAGACACCCCCATCTGTCGGAGGGCATGGCCGTGGCCGCGTCTGCCATCGTGGCGGGTGGCGTCGGCGCGGCGTTGTCGCACCCGGCGGACACGCTGAAGACGAGGCTTCAAGGCGGCTTGTTCCCGTGGGGTCTGGTCGGCGCGCCTGCGCAGCCACAGGACAACACTGTAGTGCAGAAGCTGGCGCAGATGCGTGCCACGAACTCCCTGTGGACCCAACTCTACGCCGGCTTCGTGCCGCGTCTCTTCCGCATCGTGTGCTGCACCTTCGTCTACGGCTCCCTCAAGGAGGTCTTCGAGGGCCTGGCTGCCGCGAGGCTGCGCCAGAGTCCGAAGGAGACTCTCCCAATCGCCGTGGCCTTCCCGGCCTTCGAGGAATAGTTCCGGTGCGAGGCGCGAGCGAGAGGGACTGCGTCGTGACCAGCCTTCAGTGCGAGTTGTCTCTCACCCGAGGGCGACGGCGACCCCGTAGACGGCCACTGCACCATTCCCACCTTCGCCCGGATCGGAGAAGAGCGTGGAAACGTGCATGTTCCTCCGCCCGATCGGAGTAGTCAGCGTGCCCCTCCTCTTTCACCAGCCGCGCTTGCTCGCGCTCTCCTGGACTCATCCTACTTCTCCCCCGTATCCGAACAACCCTCCACAGCTGTTGAGAAATAACCTTGCATGCCAAGTCCTTCGCAGTGTTAGCCGCACGCCTCCCTATTCTGGTGGAGCTGGATTGTAGCGCAGAAGCGGTGACGCAGAGTGCGATCACGATTTTCGACCACGGCCTTTTTCAGCGCAGTGCCCTCCTGAGTTTTGGCAGTCCGGGCGTAACATATCGCCCCGGTGCGCTTTTGTTGTTGACGCTGCTGATGAATGTATTAATGGTGCTCTGTGGAGAGCGGGCATGGTAGTGAATTGTGGACGCAGAGAAGGAGGAGGAGGGGAGGAGGAGGAGCAGGCAGCAGGAGGAGCCCGTCATTGCATGGCGGGGGCGGAGCTAAGCAGGCGCCCCTGCTTGTTTTTGTTGGAGGCTGTTTCTTCGGGCCGACAAGCCGGTTTCGTTTTAGGGTACCCTTTCTCGTCCGATCACCAGCCGCTGCGGGGCGCCTACGGCGTCCTCGGGACACTAGGGGTGCGATGCCTGGGCGAGTGGAGTACGCCTGTCTGGGCAACAGGCGCGTCCGGCGCCGTTCGCCAGTCCCAGCTGACTCGCGCAAGAAAAAAAAGAGGGACTCGGAAGAGCCCAAAAGAGTCCCAAAGAGCGCACTGAGTGCCGCCAGAAGCCTCCCAGACGGCACAGAACAGCTCCAACAAGACGGCCGAAGAGGGGCCAAGGACAGCCCAAGAGGGCCCGAAACTGGCCCAGGAGGGCACATCTCTACGAGACTCTCCAGACGGCCGAAAGGGGCCCAAGACGGCACCAAGACTGTCCAAGAGAGGCCCAAGACGGTCCGCGAAGAAGATTGCCACATGCCCACTCTTTTCTTCGGGATCTCTCCAGTTAGATCGAACCGTCCAGGGGCCCAAGGACGGGGCGAAAGCGCACGTCGTGTGTTTTGTTCGACGTCAGGACTTGAAGTGCGACCAACGACGACGACGCTGACGACGCCGACGCTGACGACGCCGACGCTGACGACGCCGACGCTGACGACGGCGCTGACGACGACGTCGAGGCCCACGAACGATAAACAGATTGCGAAGGCCTTACGGCCGGTGCCGCCGACCCTGAAGGGAGACGACGACGACGACGACGACGACGACGACGACGACGACGACGACGACGACAACGGCGGCGACGACGGCGACGCTGACGTGGGCCAGAGTCCTCAGGGATGCTTCTTGGGGTCTCTTCGGAAGGCTCTCGGGAGCCCCTGGAGAGGACTTCTGGGGCCTCTTGGGAGCCTCTTGGGGGCCTCCTTGGAGCCCCTTGGGGGCCTCTTCGGGTTTTCTGGGGCCTCCTGGGAGCCTCTCGGAGCCGAGGGCTCGAAATGTCTGTTCGAGTCCCCCGTCTGGGCACTCTCTTGGAGCCATCTTGGGGGGCTCTAGGGCCGTCTTGCAGGCGTTTGGGGCTCTCTTGGCGTCCTCCTGGGCTGTTTGGGGGCACTTTCGGAAAGATCTTGGGCCGTCTTGGGGCGATCTTGGGGGCCTCTTGCGCCGTCTTGCGGCGGGAAGTGGAAAAGCGAGAACGCCCAAATATGTTGATGTGTGAACATACCTACCTACCTGCATGCATGTATGCATGCATACATACAAACATACATACATACATACATACATACCTACCTACCTACCTACCTACCTACATACATACATACATACATACATACATACATATATGCATACATATATGCATGCATATATGCATACATATATGCATACATATATACATACATATATGCATAAATGCACACATACATACATACATACATGCATACATACATACATACATACATACATACATGCATGCATACATACCTACATGCATACATGCATACATGCATACATACATATATGCATACATACCTACATACATACATACCTACATACCTACATACCTACATACCTACATACCTACATACATACATACATACATACATACATACATACATGCATACATACATACATACATATATACATATATACATACAAACAAACATGCATGCATGCATGCATGCATGCATGCATGCATGCATGCATACATACATACATACATACATACATACATACATATTCACGTCTACACACAAAAAAAAACAAAAACAAGCAACAAGGAAATCAATGAGTTTGACCTCTTGGGGCCATCTCGGGAGTGCTCTTGGAGGCAGTCCGGGGGGCGCGAAGGCGTTTTGGACCGATCGTTTGGCGATTGGGGACCCTCTTGGACTGTCTCGGGGGCCTCTTGGGGCATTCTTGGCCTGTCGTGGTACTTTCGGAGGCCCCAGGGCCGCCATCTGACCCCCCCCCCCCCACCCCCCCAGGACTACCCAGGACGACCCCCCCCTCCCTCGACGGGGAAGGGATCAAAGGGAAGGGACCTCCCTTCGACTCGATTGCGACATTGCTAGCTTTTGTTCTCGCTGACAGGCTTGAGGAGGAGGGTGCAGGGAAAGGGGACGGCGGAGACGACGACTGACGGAGATGACGACTCGAACAGACAAGCCCCTCACACACGCCGACAGGCTCGGCGGATCCATGATGATGCCCTTGCGGTCTGGACACCGAGGCGCGCTCCCATGGATGACGCGATCCCACGGGCGCGCTCCGCGCGGGGCATCCGCGCAGGGGCCCTGTCATCCCTGCGGGGGTGTCGCGACCGAGGAGGCCTGGCCGCGGGGGCGGGAGCACGGACGCGTTCCCAGGCGTCCGATGTCTCCGCTTCCTCCACGCGGGGTCCTCCGAAGTCCCGGCCCTCTCCCGAGGGCCAGCTCTTCACGCTTCGTGGGCGGAAAAGAGGGGGGTAATGACTAGGGGGGGGTGGATGTCATGGCGGGGGCCATGATATTTCCCCAGATTTCATGGCGCCTCTCTTTATTTCATTGCGTCCCTGGCCCCCCCGCTGGGCCGCGCACATGCCGCCACTCATGATTTGCACCGCCCCCTCTTGGACACCCCTCTCTTGGCCGCTCCCGAACGCGGAGTCGTTCGGCTGCGCGCAAGCTGGCGGCGCGCACGGGGGGGGCAGGGGGAGGGGGGGAGGCGTCTTGGAGGGAGGCTGCTGCCCAGAAGGCGCGGGCATGCCTCTGTCTACAGATGTAGGGCCCGCGCCTTCTGAGCGGCAGCCTCCCTCTAAGAAGCCTTCCCCCCTCCACCTATCCACCTGTGCGCGGCGCCAAGTAAGAGTGACCCCTCGCCAGAGTGGGCGGCGCTCCCGGGCCAAGCCCCAGCGCGCAGGCCGCCATCACCTCGTCGCACCGCAAGCAGCGACCGACAAGGCGCGCACCAAAGGTCACCCCTGCCTGGGGTCGCTCTTGCGTGCAGCCGAGCCGTTGCTTCACGGTCCTGGCACCCTGGAAGGGCACCCGGAGGCCGAACACAGCCACACATGCGTCCGTTGGGATTCTTTCAGCGTGTGGGATCCCAGGGTTCACCGCCCGCGGGAAACGTTCGCGGCGGCGGCGGCGGCGACGCCGGGGCGTTGGCGGCGGCGGCGGCGGCGCTTCCGGAGGCCGGCGGGCGAGCAAGAAGAAGTCGGGCGTCGGCGTCGAGCGGAGGGCGTCCAAGGGCCGCAAGATTAGGCGCGCACGCGCGCGGGCGCCCGTGGTCGGTTAGGCTCGAGGTGCTCGTGGCTTGCACCGCCCCCAGGCCCACTGCAGCACCAGCCTGCGATGATTGCAAGTAGTTCTTGCAAAACGAGCAAGAAATCCCATGTATATATATATAATATATATATATATACATATATATATATATGCACATATATGTGTATATATATACATATCAAATATACGCATACACACATACATATCGAGGACGCCGGCGGCGCATCACCGGCCGCTCCCTGGGAGTTTGTCGAAGTGGCGCGCAGCATCGAAAGTCGCGCGCGGGCGCCCGTGGTCGGTTAGGCTCGAGGTGCTCGTGGTTTGCACCGCCCCCAGGCCCACTGCAGCACCAGTCTGCGATGATTGCAAGTAGTTCTTGAAAAACGAGCGAGCAATCGCATAGAGATATAGAGAGAGAGAGATGGGCCCTCTCGGGGCAGAAAGGTCGAGTCTTTGGTTCGTGGACTCCCTCTTGGGCCTCTCCTGGGACCGTCTTAGCCTTTTGGGCCCTCTGGTAGGCGCCCCTGCCCCGCTAGTTGGTGAGGAAAGCGTGCACGACGTTCGTCAAGATGGAAGATCAGCACAGTACACAAATAATCGCAGACTTCCGCGAAAATAGTTATAGGAAACGATTCAAAAGTAGTCAAGAAATATTACAAAAATCGCGCCCATATGATTAATTAACTATTTTTGAATATTCCCCCCTGTAGAGGGGCATGCTCGACATAACCCTAAAACGGTGGTGAGATGGCTGCGGCTGCGGTTCGAACTTGGGGAGGAGGGGGGACGGACAAGAGGGAGCAGAGGGAGAGAGGAGGCAGGGAAGGAGAGAGGAGGAGCAGGAGGACCAGACTGACCCCCAAGACGCATCGGCGATGTTGCAATATACTCCAGATTTCGTAATAAAGGGGAGGGGGTCTCATTTCGGGGGGGGGTCTCTTCCAGGCTATCTTGGAGGGCCAGGGGGGGTCTGGGGACGATGGTTTGGAGGGTTCTCCCACGGGGGAGGTCTGAAATGGCTTGTCTTGGAGGGTCCAGACCCCCTCCCTTTTATTACGAAATCTGGAGTACCCTTCCGCCCCGAGCCCCCTCCCCACAAGTCCCTGCAAGCAGCACTTGTCACTGCAGGAAGCGCCGCCGTGAGAGCCCGGTGCCCGACGTGGGCCTGCCATTCCGGCGAGAGCCCCCACTGGAAAGGAATGACCTTGCATCCGCCTCGCGCGGAACCAGGAATGCGGAGATCATATACTCCAGATTTCGTAATAAAGGGAGGGGGGTCTAATTTCGGGGGGGTCTCTTCCAAGCTATCTTGGAGGGCCTGGGGGGGTCTGGGGACGATGTTTTGGAGGGTTCTCCCACGAGGGGGGGTCTGTGAAATGGCTTGTCTTGGAGGGTCCAGACCCCCTCCCTTTTATCACGAAATCTGGAGTACTTCAACAAGTTGTCCAGCGATATTCCCGTTTCGGAAGAGAAAAAAAAAGCAAACAACAAATAAGAAACAAAGCAACAAACAAAAAAACAAAACGGCCGCCCCCCACCCTTGCAAGTGTTGCACTAGCTTGCACGTGCGGTTGCGAATTTCGAGGAATGTCCAAGCGAGGTCCCCTGGTTGTTTTTACACGCCTCAAACCGTACAGCTGCTACCTTTATGATGAGGTTGCTGGCCCTCGATCAAAAAGAAGCCTCAGGCGAGAGACCCACTATGAAAAGGAGCCGCCTTGCGTCCCAGCAGCTGCTGCAAGCCTTTACGACAACTTCGCGCGGCGCTGCGGCGATAGCCCCATCTTGAAACTGAACCGCCCTCCATATTTCAGGCGATCGCAAATATGGATGAGGAGCAGGAGGAATAGGAGGAGGAGGAGGAGGAGGAGGAGGAGGAGGAGGAGGTGGTGCACTCCCCCTTCCTCATCCTTCTCTCGGGCGATCGCAAACATGGATCAAAGGGGACGTGGGTTAGCGGCGGGTTCCGTTGCCATGGAACATCGCGGATCTCCGCCGCCGAAGGAGGCGGCGCCGGCCGCATTTTGGGGAGGGCACCTCCCCCGATCTACGGATTCGGCGATCGCGCGCCGAATCCATGGATCGCTAATCCATCTTTGCGCGCCCGCGGATATTTGTAGCTGCTGTAAGCTCTAAAGACTCATGTGCGCGGCGCTATGGCGAGAGCTCCATTTTAGAAGCGATCCGCGCTGTATCCCTGTAGCTGTTGTAAACTTTCAAGACTCCCTTGCCCAGCCTTGTGACGAGAGCCCCCACAGAGCAAACCAATTGTGTTCCATTCTTGGGAACTGCTGCGCATGTCAAGCTTCATGATCGTAAGTGGAGAGGAAGCATCAGACGAAACGCCTGGCCCGCCCTACCAACACGTTTAGAAGTGCGACAGGGAGGAAGGGGTAAGGGGTAAAGAGGAGGAGGAGGAAGGAGGAGGAGGAGGAGGAGGAGGTCCCAGGGTCCACCCGGAGGACCCAGCGCTTCCCCAGGGGCCGTGCTCTGCGTCCCGAGTCCGTTGCTGCCGACTGTCCGGAGGTTCGGAAGCGGCCTCCAGGAACGGAGAGCGCAGAGAATCCACCGACCGCTGCAGGGGAAGAGGGCGTCGGAGAGCGGCGCGGGAGGAAGGCGCCCCTCCTTGCTCAGAGGTTTGGGCGAGGGGGGGGCTTGCCCGCCCATGATGGGGCTGTTTGGCTACGACCGCTCCGATCCGATATCGACTCTTGGCCGGCCAGATCTCATACGATTCCGATATAATCCTCGGCCAGGCGCAGAGGGGGGCAGGGGGAGGGGGGAAAGCTTCTCAGAGGAACCCCTGCTTCGAAGCCTTCCCCCCCTCCCCCTGCCCCTTCTCTGCGCGCCGCGCCAGAGTCCAAAGACCGGATGCGGCCCGAGGCTTGCACGACGCGGCTGCGCATCCCGGCGCAGCTGGTCCGAGTCGAGTCTGATTCCGTGCCGACGCGGCCCGATCCAACGCACGTTCCAGTCCGATCCGATGCTCCGCCCCAAATTTTGTCGGGGGTTGACAGAACCCCCAACAGTGACACGTCGATTAGTGAATTGTCCGTTTTCGGTTCTCGAGAGGGCGCCGCGGCCGTTATTTTCCAGGCTTGCGCCCGCCAGGTTTGGGCCTCAGGTCGTTTTCACTAAACCACGTTTTACTAAAGGGAGGTCTGCCCATCCCCGATATTGATTGATCTTGCTTCGCGTTCGCGTCGGCCAGGTACGTGCCCATCGAGAAGCTTCAGAATTTCATGGCGCCCCAGCCGCGCCCCGAGAGTGCGGACGGAGACGCAGGCGGAGCTGCGGAGGGGGGCGACGACGACGACGGGGGATGTGTGTCTACAGGGGGGGGGAGCCCGAGGCCCTCGCGGGTCTTCGCGGCTCGAGAAGTGGCGCAGAGAGGGCGGGGCCGGGGGTTCTCCCAAAGCTGCGCCGTCGGAGGCGAAGTGCACGCTGCCAAGGCACAAGACAGCTTTTGCCCGTTCTCGCTGCTGTTGGCCTCTGTCCCTGTCACGGGGAGGAGGCCACGAGCTTGTGGTCGTCTCGCCGTCCGCCTGCTTGAGGCCCGAGGACTCCAGGGACCCCTAGAGTGCCCACTAGCCCTGGATGAAAACAAAAGAAAAAGCTGCGCCGTCGGAGGAGATGGTTGGCCGTGGCGACCCCCCGGGGTTCCCTCCTGAGCCCGCGCCGCGTGCACCCAGCACCGACGAGCCCGTGCGGCGGCCGAGCCGGTTCAGTTCGCACGGACCTCGGAACGGACCTCCGAGCGGACCCAGGATCGAGCCCGTCCGGCGACCGTGCGGGCTGAATGCCGATCGTCCTGTTGGAGTTGAGCCCATTGGCTGCTCATTTGGCGGCCGAACGGGCTCAGAGATGCCGAATGGGCTCAGAACGGAGCACTGGGGGCGAGGACACCCCCTTCACAGGAGGCCGAAAGAACAGCGAAAGGCGCATTGGTCCCATCCTCTTCTCGTGCCCCTCCCGATCCTCACCCTCCACGAGATCCTGGCGTCGCTGTTCTTGCACTCCGCACGTTTCCGCACAGGTTCGAGCCCCAGCCTCGATGACCGATCGGGCTCGGGATTCGCCGCCGAAAGATGAAGCCGAAGGTTCCAGTTGTGATTTCTTACCCAGGCCCCGATGTCGTCAGTCCCCGCATCCAAAGTGGGAATCGTGTTTTCTTTGGACAACCCCGCGCAGTCCTCACCTCACCCTCCTCGCCTCTTTCGTCACCCTCCTCGCCTCGCATCATCACCATCACTATCACCACCATCATCCTCCTCGTCATCATCATCATCAGCGTCATCTCCCTTCACTCTCACCATCTCCATCGCACCACCAACATCATCATCATTATCACAATCCCGTTATGGTCACCAACCGTCATCACCAGCATCATTACCACCACCACCGCCTTCACCACCACCACCCCCAGCATCATCATCCTCCTCATCATCAGAATCATCAGCATCATCATCAGCATTATCATCTTCAGCATCGTCATCATCATCAGCATGAGCATCATCGTCAGCATCAGCATCATTGTACACACACATACTCACACACTCACGCACACACTGACACATGAGTGTAGAGGAAGTCTCGAGCGGCAGACTCGTTTATGAGTGAATCACGAGGAAGTCTCGAGCGGGACCCCCACCCTACAGTGTTCTGGAGTTCTGGCTACAAGACGATGTCTTACACCTTACCAGGGCCTTCCAATTACGTGCTACTTACACTGGAAGGCCACGCACACGCTTCTCCTTGGTGCCTAATACCTTGGGGCACATGCCTCTGGAAATCCGACTGAGATATTCTGAACGAGTATGTGTGTTTTCTTGTTGTTCCACATCTTGCCGAGTTCACGCAACTGGACACTAGCATAGCAACCACATCGGACACAATACCACAAACGCAACTTGCCGTGGAACTCCATTATGTGGGAACGTGCGCCTCATGTTGGCATTTCGAATCTGCCATCGGAATAACCCATAGAACATTGGTTTGGTGGCACCTGGGAGACTGAATCCCGGGGAAGTCTCGGTCGGGAGCCTCGTTCCTGACATGCCTACGGCGCTCACTCGCTTGTGAGCGAGTCGCGAGGAAGTCTCGAGCAGGAGCCCATGCCTGTAAAACTGAGGCGGCCATCGGAACACATTGTAAAGGCACAGGTTTGGTGACACTTGAGAGTCTTAACCTTGACGGATACTCGAGCGGGAGCCTCGTTCCTTTGTTGAGCGTCCTCTGTAATCCGATGCGGCCATCCTCAATCAAACCTGTAGGTGTTGACAAGGACCAGCAGATACCAGACAAGAAGAGAGCCTCCGTAGTTACAAGGACGACGATGAGGACTACTTCCAGAGCAGTTTGGAAGATTATCATGCGGGGTACTACCGTCGGAGTATTTATTCGCGCAGTGGACCACCAGAGGTCTGGACCCTTTTCCGGGATCCAGTGCTTCATCCTGGGAATCTTGGGCCAGCTTGTCGGCAACACCATGGCCCGGGCAGGGCCCCCAGATTGCTCCGTGGCGACGAGAACTTTCAAAGGCGCCCAGAAGTGTCCGCCGCCGCCGACGTCGCCGACGACAATGTCATAGACGCAGAGACCCGACGCATCGATTTCGACACGGGGTCCCCGAAAGTCCTTGCCCCTTCCCTAGGCCAGGAGGGAAAAAATACACAGACACAATTAAGCATCGATTCCCCCGAAAATATTGGAAAATGTGGGGAGTGGGGGGAAGACGAACACCCAGAAAATATGAGAAAATATAGGGAATCCTATGATTTATGTGTATTTATTTGTGTGTCCCTGGGCCCCTTGCCTAGGGCCAGCCATTCACCCTGAGTCGTGCTTGAATGGCCCAGGGTCCCAGTGGGGGCTCCACGGCCCGAAAACTGCGAAACACAAGTCGTGCGCTAATGCTCCCATTCGTTGGAGGTCTGGGATGATCGAAGAAGAACAAAACGCCATAAGCATAAGCTTTTGGTGCTCCGCGCGAATTTCTTGGGTCCGCGCTGGGGCTCCTCTGGCGGCGCCTCCGGCGCCGCCCCTGGCGAGCTCCGCGCACCTGGGAGGGGGGTCTGGCGCGGATCCAAGAAATCCGCGCGGAGCGCGAAAAGTTTCTGTGTATGTCGTTATTGTCTTCTTCTAGATGAAGCATCGCAAGCTTCGTTTTGTGAGGGCAAGTGGTAACTTTAAAATATGGTAGTCGTTACGAGCATCACACATGCTTCATGACCACCAGTTGACGTACACAAATTTTCAAACATATTTATACATACACACATATATATATATGTGTGGGTGATGTGATGATTCATCTCAGCACGCCGCCCCACCATCGGCTACCCGTAAGAGTGACCCTTCGCCAGAGTGACCTCTGTTGCGGGCCCACAGGGGTCCCGCCAGCATCGGCCGGCTCGCTTGGAGTGCGTTGAATTGGCCTCCCCCGCGGCCCCCGAAGCCGCGCACCACAGGGCACCCTTGCCTGCGGTAGGTTTGTGTCGTGTCGACGGGCGGCGACCCCGCCGCCAGCGTGCAGCGTTGAAAGCTGTCAGCGACCCAGAGTCGGTCGATGCTGAACGATCTGACTTTGCAGAAACGGCCGACCGTTCAAGGTTGCACGATCCATGCGGTGTCAGGAATCAACTCAGGAGAGGAAAAAACACACAGACACAATGAATCGTCGAGTCCCAGGAAAAGATTGGAAAATATCGGAAGTGGGGGGGAAGACAAAAACCCAGAAAACATATGAGAAAATGTGGGGCCAATTTTGATTTGTGTGCATTTATCTGTGTGTCCTGGGGCCCCTTGCATCAGCGCCAGGGTCGACACGACGCGAGCTTGCCGCAGGGTCTCACTCCCGCGTGCCGCCGGCACCAGCTCGCAGGCCTCCTCGCCGGCTCGGCGGCCGTGGACGCCCTGCTGCGGTCCCTCTTCGCCTGAGCGCCGCTCGCGGCGCGGCGCGCGCGCGCGCGCGCGCCGGCGCGTCACCGCCTCTCGGCGGGGGCGAGGGCTGCCTCTCGAAGAGAGGAGGAGGACGAAGGAGAAGGAGAAAGAGGAGGAGGAGGAGGAGGAGGAGGAGGAGGAGGAGGAGGAGGACGACGAGGACGACGAGGAGGAGGCGGAGGAGGCCGACAACGAGAAGGACGAGGAAGAGGGAGGAGGAGAGGGGCAAGAAGAGGGAGGGAGGAGGAGGGCGATGGGGAAAGAGGAGGGAGGTGGAGGAGACGGAGGACGCAGGAGGACCTAGGAGAGGGGATCTGGGAGAGGGGATCTAGGAGAGGAGGTGGGCCCAGCAGGGAGGGCGGGGCGGAGGGACGAGAGAGAGGGGCGAGGCGGCGCGCCCGTCTGCACGCGCGCCTCGCGACGCGGCACTGCTCCTGCGGGCGGGGACGGGGGGGGGCCTCTTGAGGACAGGGGGGGGCAATGGGGGAGGAGGCAGGGGGAGGAAGGAGGAGGAAGGGGGAGGAAGGAGGAGGAGGAGGAGGAGGAGGAAGAGGCGCAGCCCACGCGCGAGGAGGAGGACGAGGAGGAGGAGGAGGAGGCGGAGGAGGAGGATAGACACGGTCAGGAACGTTTGGTTCTCGCGTCGCACCGCCGGTTCTGGCCCACCCCGTTTGGGCTCGACGCGCCAAGCACGTCCGAGTGCCTAAGCACCTCTGTTCCGAGCTCTGCCCAGCCTCCCGTCGCGAGAAGAAGAGCGACACGCCATCAGCTTGCTTGGCTTGGCGTGTCGCAGGGGCCGCCTCCGCGACACGCCAAGGAAGAGCCCCTCACCGTAGCACTGCACGGATGCAGGTGTAGCGTTGCTGCTCACCAGTGGCGGCACAGCCCTGCACGTTTGGGGAGGGTGTTCAGCTCCCCTGTCCTTGAGTATGTGCTCTGGGAGGTTGGTGGTCCGTCCCTTGGGGGTCTGGTGGACATCCAGGTAGGCGCTGCGGAGATACGTGGCGAAGTAGCTCCGCGCGCGCGCCTGCAGGCGGCCAGCGGCGGCCCGACGGCCCCCGCCCCCCCCCCTGCCCGGGGCGCGGACGGGGCGCCATGGGCACCGTGCACTGCGCGGAGGCCACCGTTCTGTGCGAGCAGGCGGGCGGGGTGACCTCTTCCTCCTCCTCCTGCTCCTCCTCCGCAGGCGGGGCCCCGGGGGTCCCCGAGTCCGATGGGACCCCCGGGGCACTCGGCGAGCGCTCCCTGCAGACCGGCGCCCGCGCCGGCCGCGGGGGGCCCTGGGAGGGCCCCCCGTCCCCCGGCCCCCTCAGCCGGTCGGTGGCGGGGGCGGCGGCGAGGCAGCGGCGGGGGCGGCGGCCGGGGGGGGCCCGGGGCGGCAGGGGCGCCCGCGCCGCGCGCCCCCGCGCGCCCGGCGCGTCGGGCGGCCCGCGCGCCCTGCCGCCGGGCGGGGGCGCCAGGCAGCCGGAGCGCCGCCGCCGCACCCTGCGGCCGGGGCCGTCGCGGCGCCTGCTCTGGCCCAGCCGCGGCCCGGGCGCCCGGTCGCAGGGGGTGCGACGAGAGGGGTCTGAATCCCCCCCCCGTGGCCGTGGCGGCACCCGGGCCGCTCCTCCTCTTCTGCGCACCTCGCCCCGGGCCAGCCACTGCCTCGGCCTCCTCCTCTACCTCCTCCTTCCTCCTCGTCGTCTTCCCTCAGCGCTCTTCGCCCCGGGCTGGCCGCTGCCTCCGCCGCCTCCTCGTCCTCCTCCTCCTCCGCTGCGCTCCTCGCCCCGGGTTGGCAGCTGGCCCGGTCCCGCCTCCTCCTCCTCAGCGCTCCTCGCACCGGGCCGGCAGCTGCCTCAGTCTCCCCCGCCTCCTCCTCCTCCTCCTCCTCCTCCTCCTCCTCCTCCTTCTCCTCCTCCTCCTCCTCCTCCTCCTCCTCCTCCTCCTCTCCTCCTCCTCCCTCCTCCTCCTCCTCCTCCTCCTCCTCCTCCTCCTCCAGCCGCTCGCCCGGGTCTGGCCTCGCGCCAAGGCCGGTGCTGGGTGGCCGCCAACACGGCATCGGCCGCGTGGCGCTGTAGCACGCTGCCTAGGGCCTGGTGCACGCGGCGGATCGTCCTCCTCCTCCTCCTCCTCCTCCTCCTCCTCCTCCTCATCATCATCATCAGCATCATCATCATCATCATCATCATCATCATCATCATCATCATCATCATCATCCTCCTCCTCCTCCTCCTCCTCCTCATCATCATCATCATCATTATCATCATCATCATGATCATCATCATCATCATCATCATCATCATCATCATCATCATCGCATCATCATCATCATCATCCCTCCTCCTCCTCCTCCTCCTCCTCTCTCCTCCTCCTCCTCCTCCTCCTCCTCCTCCTCCTCCTCCTCCTCCTCTTCCTCCTTCTTCCCTTCCTCCTCTCCTCCTCCTCCTCCTCCTCCTCCTCCTCCTCCTCCTCCTCCTCCTCTCCTCCTCCTCTCCCCTCCTTCTCCTCCTCCCCCCCTTCTCCTCCTCCTCCTCCCCTCTTCCTCCTCCTCCTCCTCCTCCTCCTCCTCCCTCCTCCTCCTCCTCCTCCTCCTCCTCCTCCTCTCCTCCTCCTCCTCCTCCTCCTCCTCCTCCTCCTCCTCCTCCTCCCTCCCCTCCCTCCCTCCCTCCCTCCCGCGGTCTCGCGTCCTGCACACCCTCAGCAGTACCGCCCCTGGCGGACTGTCGAAGACATCCGAGTTCCTCCCTCCTCCTTCCCTTCTCCTCCTCCTCCTCCTCCTCCTCCTCCTCCTCCTCCTCCTCCTCCTCCTCGTCTACACGGCGTCTGCATTGCGATCCGGTGGATCCGCTGCGATATCGATATCGGCCAGCTCGATCCGATTCGGTTCCGATGCTCCGACCATCCGATGCGGCCCGAGGTTTGCATTGCGTCGTTGTGCTTCGGCCCCGTGCCGATGCAGCACGATCCGACGATCGTTCCGATTCGATCCGACTCCCCGCTCCGACGCTGACTGATCCTGCCAGGGGTTTCCCTCCAAGCCCGTTTTGCGTCTGAGCCTGCTCGGCCGCCAGATGGGCAGACCAGTGTGCTCAGCTCCGACAGCGCGGTGGGAGCTGAGCCCGCCCGGCAGCCGCATGGGCTCGATGGTGGGTCCGTTCGGCGGCCGACACAGCGCTCAGACGCCAACTAGGAACTCCAGGGGAGCGGGGGCCCCCGACACGCCTGCAGAGGCCGAGGTTCGAGGACCAAGGTGCCTGAAGGATCCTCGAAAGGGCGTCGAGGTGAACCTGTCCCCGGTGGCATGCTTGAAGGGGGCCAGCGGATTCACGCGGGATAAATAGCACAACAGAGTAGAGCCCCAATTGGGAGCGGAAGTGCGTCTCGCGCGTGCCCGCTCGAGAAAATGCGCCCCACGTCTCGGATCCTCTATGCATGACGGGGTCCTTTTCCTTTGTGAAAACGAGGGCCGCGTAATTTACTATGGATCCTGGCCCTGGAAGCACAGACGCACTTTAATTTCCACGGATCGTGGCCCAGGGGGGGGGGCGGACACAGTGTAATTGATGAGGGGACTTGGACCTGGACGCGCGGACGCATCGTCATTTACTAGTGGTCGCGTCCTTGGGGGAATGGGCGCCTAATTCACGAGGGATCGTAATTAGCCCTGGCAGCGCGGACGCAGCTCCATTCATGGGGGATCGCGGACTTGGGAGCGCGGACGCAGTGCAATTTACCAACGGGTTGTGGCCCTGGGAGCGCGAATCCAACGTAATTTACCACGGACCGTGGCCATGGGAGCGCGGAGGCAGTGCAGTTTACAAGGGATCGTGGCCCAGGGAGCGTGGCTCCCGTGTAATTTACCAAGTAGCGCGGTCCTGGAAGCGCGACTTCAGTGCAAGTTACTAGGGATCGTAGCCCTGAGAGCGCGGAGGCAGCATAATGCACGAGGGATCCTGACCCTGGGGCACGTTCCCTGGCACGTGCCCTGGCGCCTCCCCTGGGCACGTCGTCCCATGGCACGTCCCATGGCACGTCCCCTGGCACGTCCCCCGGACACGTCCGCTGGCGCGTTCCGTGGCGCGTCCCCCTGGCATATCTCGCGGCGCGTCTCCTAGGACGTTCTGTGGGGCGTCCCGTGGCACGCCTCGTCCTCCTCCTCCGCCTCCTCCGCCTCCGCCTCCGCCTCCTCCTCCTCCTCCTCCTCCTCCTCCTCCTCCTCCTCCTGCTCCTCCTATTCCTCCTCCTCCTCCTCCTCATTCTCCTCCTCCTATTCCTCCTCCTCCTCCTCCTCCTCCTCCTCCTCCTCCTCCTCCTCCTCGAACATATTGCGGTCACTGGCACGTTCCGTGGTGCGCGCGGCGCGTCCCCTGGCACATCACCTGGCGCGTCCACTGACACGTTCCTTGGCGCGTCCCCTGGCACGTCACTCTGCGGCGCGGCACAGCGCAGAACAGCACAACGCAGCCCCTGGCACAGTCTCATCACCATGGATGTCTTCAGCACTGCTACTGCCCATCGCCCAACTGAGGTGCTTGGAAGCGTCCCCGTGCCTCGCAGTTCTAAATCCCCTTCCAGGTTCGTGGGTCGAACATGTGTTTCATTCTGGGGGCCTCCAGCGGGCTTCTCGTTGCCACGACGGGATCCCTTTCAAAAGCATCATCTAGACGCACCCCCAGAGATGTGCAGCAGTCGATTTTAAGGAGGGGTGCACATACCTCCGACGTCGTGGAAAAATCAAGACCAGTGTTTTTCTTCGTGGTCGGCCACCACCCAGCGCCAAACAAGCATCCGGGATAGCAGAACAAGCCCCTGCGAAGGGGTCGAGAGGCGGTGGGAGGGGGCTCGTTTTTGATGTAAAGTTAATCGGAGGTAATTGGGGGCGGAACAAGAAAAACGCCTGATGTAATTTGAGGCAGGAGGATCCAGCGTCAAGCTTGTGTTGCATGTACATGTTGTTTCGTGCCGCTCTCAAAGGCCCTGGGACCTCCCGGGGCCCGCGGACTTTTGTCCGAAGACTTCCGGAGAATTGGCACAGGCGTCCGGCAGGGGGGGCGCTCGATCTAAGAAGAAGCGTGTCGCGAGAGTAAAGTTTTTTCACAACGAGGCGACGAACGAGGCGACAGCGCTGCCCCGCGCGTGCCCGCGAACGCGCGGGGCACCGAATTCAAGGAGGACGATGAGGAGGAGGAGGCGGAGGAGGAGGAGGAGGAGGAGGAGGAGGAGAAGCAGGAGGAGGAGAAGCAGGAGGAGGTTGGAGGAGGAGGACGAGTAGGGAGGAGAGGAGGAGGAGGAGAAGGAGGAGGAGGAGGAGGAGGAGGAGGAGGTGGAGGAGGAGGACGGAGTCGGAGAGGAGGAGAGGAGGAGGAGGAGGAGGAGGAGGAGGAGGAGGGAGGAGGGAGGAGGGAGGAGAGGGAGGAGGGAGGAGGGAGGAGGGAGGAGGGAGGAGGGAGTAGGAGGAGGGAAGAGGAGGAGGAGGAGGAGGAGGAGGAGGAGGAGGAGGAGGAGGAGGAGGAGGAGGAGGAGGAGGGAGGAGGAGGAGGAGGAGGAGGAGGAGGAGAAGGAGGAGGAGGAGAGGGAGATGGAGGAGGAGGAGGAGGAGAGGAGGAGGAGGAGGAGGAGGAGGAGGAGGAGGAGGAGGAGGAGGAGGAGGGGAGGAGGAGGGAGATGGAGGAGGAGGAGGGAGGAGGAGGAGGAGGGAGGAGGGAGGAGGGAGGAGGGAGGAGGAGGAGGAGGAGGAGGAGGAGGAGAAGGAGGAGGAGAAGGAGGAGAGGAGGACGAGGAGGAGGAGGAAGGAGGAGGAGGAGGAGGAGGAGGAAGGAGGAGGAGGAGGAGGAGGAGGAGGAGGATGGCGGCCAGCTCAGCCAGCCGACCGCGGGCCCCCAGAGCCCGACCGAGGGGCCAGGCCCGAGCAGCAGCAGACGTGGCGAGGGGCCGAGGAGCAGGAGGACAGGCTGGTGCAAGCGTGCAGGGGCAGGGGCGAGAGCACGGACACGCGCACCTCGAGGCATTTTTCGGGTGGGCCCAAGAGGGGGTCCAGCAACAAGGGGTGGTGCCATAGATTGGGTGCAATATCGGGGAAGCGTAAGACTCGAGTAAGCCAGAACTCGGGTTTGCCGACTTTTTTTTGACGAGCGCGTCCTGGATTTTGACGGTCCCGTTTTCGTGGGATGTCTGCAGCGGGAGCCCGCGTCAAATTTCAGATTGGGTCTCGTCATTTTCATGATAACCCCCGTCAGGCCAACCCGAGTCCCTCGTACCCGAGTCTTACGTCTCCCCGACAATAGATTTGTGGGGTTGCAGTACATTTGGGGTGTGCAATACATGCCAGGGCGCAGACGTATTGCTGGATCTTCGCGTGCAAAACATGACTTGCAGCACAATGCAGTACAGCTCTCCGGCGCAATACAATTGCCCCAAATCTATTGCACCACCCCCTTTCAGCTTTGCCCCCTTTAAGGTGTGCTTGCATTTTGTGCAGGACGTCGTGGCTGTCCGGATGAATACAGTCAAAATTCATAATAAGGACGCGCGGCTGTCCGTAGGTGCCCTTGCGTCCTCGCCTCTGCGGCTCGTCCTGCGCGGCTTTCGTTGGCCAGCCCTTCTGGCTGTTGGCAGTCCGCCGCCCAAAAGGTGCCAACTTCGGCGTCCAAGGCCCTTGCGTCCTTACTGCCCGTCCGTACCGTAGATTTCGATTGTAATGCAGCCGGCATTGCGGCGAGAGCACGATGCCTGAATCAATCAGCCACGCGCAGAGGGGGGTGGGGGGAGGGGGGAGGGCTTCTTGAAAGCACCCCTGCCTCTCAGAAGGCGCGGGCCTGATCTATAGACTATAGATGTAAGGCCGGAGCCTTCTAAGAAGCAGCCTCCTTCTAAGAAGCCCTCCCCCTCCCTCTACCCCCTTGTGCGCACCGCCAAATCAAGTGCGAGGAAGTCTCGGGCGAAATGGCTGCCAGACCAAACGACCTCGGGGGGCGGTCCCGGGCCCCCCGTCCCCAGTGTGGGACTCTTCTGTGGCACTCCTCTTCTTTTTGCTCGGGCCTTGTAGCGAAACGCTGTTAACAGCCTCAAACACTAATCTTCGATCATCCTCGATCACCGATCGTCGATCATCCTCAAACCTGGAAGCGTCAAGATGGCGACTCGGTGGCCAGGCCACCCCATTGCGATCACCCTTATATTGCCGCCAGCCCGCACACGCCGGGGACGAACACTCGAGTGTGGGAGTCCAGCGCCGATCTCAGAAATCGACGCACACCTCCGAGATTGTGAGTTCGCACTCAAGCATTACCATAAGAATCGGTAGTTGCCCAAGGGCACCCTGACATGATCGCGCGTTCGGCCCATCCGTAGCCGCTTTCGTTCAGAAAAGCTCAGTGGGCGTCCAAAGCCCTTGCGTCGTTAACGCACATCCCTATGATCCTGTCGCGATGTGCTTGTCGCATGCTGAACAAGTCGCATCGTGGCATCGTCACATCGTCCTGTCTTTCGCCCGCCCCGAGACATGCTAGATGCCTCGCGTAACCCCACCAGCTCATCTAGGAAAGATGCCCAGGCGACGTACCATGATCAGGGATGTGGAGGAGCACGCCGTAGAATCAGGGGGTTCGGAAGCCGTGAAACCCGAAGAGGGGGAGGATGGAGGAGCAACCGGAGAAGGAGAGGAAGGAGGGGGAGGGGGAGGGGAAAGGGGGAGGGATGAGGACAGAGGAGGAGGGGGAGGAGGAGGAGGAGGAGGAGGAGGAGGAGGAGGAGGAGGGGGAAGAGGAGGAGGAGGAGGAGGAGGAGGAGGAGGAGGAGGAGAACGAGGTGGAGGAGTAATAGTCGGATGTGAAATTGCTAAGAAGGAGGAGAAGGACGAGGAGGAGGAGGAGGACAAGGAAGGGAGGAGGAGGAGGGGCGAGCACACAGGCCTGTTTCCTGCTGGATCCGTACCTCCCGCCGTCGCTTCGGATGTTTTTCGAGAGCGTCTTGGAGTCGTCTTGGGGGCGTCTGTGGGGCCTCGTGGCGGTCCCAGGAGCCTCTTGGAGCGACTCGGGTGCCTCGGGGGGGGGAAGGCCTCGGGGGACCTGCTCATGGTCTCTCGGGGATGTCTTGGGGGCCTCTTGGGGGCCTCCTGGGGGCCTCTCGGAGCCACCTGGGCGCTTCCTGGGGCCGTCTCGGGGCACCCTTGGGAGCTTCGGGGGCCATCTTGGATGAGATCGATCAGAGGGGGCGGCGCATTCAAGTAGGGCAGGGGCCCAAAACCGAAGCAGCATGAATGGGTTGCGCGCTCTCGCCGCGGCCGACAGAGACCCTCTGACACCTCGCGGCCCCTCCCCCCCAGACGGGGAGGGGGAGCGAAGCCCGCCCCGACAGGGAAGCAGGGGGGGCTGGCAAGAGGAGACCCGCTAAACCACTCACGCCCTAGATGGCTGCTGGGGTTCCCGCAAGCCTCCGCCCGCGCGCGCCCACCGGGCCTCCGGGCGGGCGGGGCCACGACCCGCCCGCCCGCCCGGCCGGCAGGAGGGCCTTTGCGGCAAGGCGGCGTCGGACGAGGCCGACGTCATCGATGTGCAGGGCAGTCGGCGCTCCCGCCCGAGGATCTGCGCGGGCGGGGCGCCGCTGGGAAAGCGTCGAGCTCGGGGGGCGAGGTCTTCGACCGCCTTTCGCCCTCGCTCGGGCCTCCGGGAGGCTTGTCGCCGTCGCGGCTGGATTCGCTGTGAAGTTCTGGTCAGAAAGCACCCTGGACGTCGGTCACGAGGGCGAGTGGTGGGGGTGGGGGGCCCTCAGAGGCTTCCACGGGGACCTCAAGAGACCGCTGGAGAGAGGGGAGGTCGCAGGGATCAACGGGAGGGGAGCAGGGTGAGCACGGACGGGGCAATCCTACCAGCCATCCGAGCGCAGATGGTATGATATTTGTCTTCTCTCTAGATTTTCCCAGAAAGAGCCTGGGCCCAGGGTTCTCTTTGAGTTGGTAAATTGTCCCTGGTGCCATGTTGATGGTGGGCCGGCGGATTTCCGTTCGATGGAAAACATTGTAAAGTTTCTTTTTCAATTGAAAAGGGCGGTTCGTGCGTGCCCGCTTGTGGGGTGAGGAGAAGAAATAACGCCCTGCATGTCGATTCCTCGATAAATAGCCGGATCCGCAGACCCCGTATTCCGCTTTCGGGAAGAAGTTGCGGAGCGCTTTGCGCAGAATCTTCGTGAGAGGTGGTTGCAAGTTTGTGGAACGTACAATAAGTCATTAGATGTGATTTTGTGCGTGCTCGCAAGAGGATGTCGCGTCCTGCGCGCAGAATATCCGAGGATTTCTCAAGCGAAACGCCCGTTTTGAAAAAGCTCCTCATGTCGGCCAGGCAGATGTCACACATGGGATGTGATGAGGATGTCTCCAGCGAAAGATTCGCTTTGTCACGGGTTTCTTTGGCTGGCGCGCTCAAACCATGTGTTGTTACATGGGTTCCATTCGCGTTTCAGCCAAAAGCATGTTGTTCACAGTGGCTTTTGTTCGCCAGTGTGCCGACGTCATGTTTGTTCACAGGCGGTCCTTTCACCCGTGGGCTCAAAGCATAAGTTTTTACATTGGTTCCTTTCGCCCTTGAGCCAACACCGTGTGTGTTTACATGGCTTCCTCTCGCTTGTGAGCTCAAACTGTGTGTTTGTACATGGGGGGCCCTTTCGCCCGTGGGCCGAAACAATGTGTTGTATTGATTCCTGTCGTCTGCGGGCTCAAATCGTGCATTGTTTGCATGGGTTATGCTCGCCAGTGGGCCGAAACCATTTGGTTGTGTAGGGGCTCCTTCGCCCTTAGGCCGAAGCCATATGTGTTTTTAGATGGGCTCCTGTCGTCTCTGCGCTCAAGCCGTATGTTTGCACATGGGCTCCTGTCGCCCGCGGGCGGACGCCATGTTTTTACATACTTGTATTTCGCCTGCGAGCTCGAAGTATGTGTTTGACATGTCGCCCGTGGGCAGAAACTATGTGTGTTGTACATGGGTTTCTGTCGACCGAGAGAGCAAACCATGTGAGCTCAAGCCATGCGAGCAACCGTCTGCGATATGAGCTCAAGCCATGTGTTTTTACATGTGTTTTTTGTTTCCCCGCGAGCCCAAATTCCAGGACGCTCCAGGAGGCCCTAGGAAGCTCCAGGCGGCCCCAGAGGGCCCCCGGAGGCCCCATGGGGCCCCAGGAGCCCCGCAGGTCCCAGGGAGGCCCCAAGAGCTCCAACCATGTGCTCGCACGTGGGTCTCGCTCACCCGTTGCCCCAAAACTGCGTGTTTTTATATGGGTTCCTTTTCGCCCGTGAGCCAGCACCACGTGGTTTGGCATGAGTGCCGTTAGCTCGTGAGCTCAAACTACTTGTTTTTACATGGTTGTTCGGTCGCCCGTGAGCGCAAACCCTCTTGGCGTGGCGCCACCTGGCGCGCCCCTTCGGCGCGTCCCTTGGCTCGTCCTATGTCGCGTTCCCTGGCTTGTCCCCTGGCGCATCCCCTGCCCGTTTGGTTGCGCGTCCCTTGCCACGTACCCTGGCTCGTCCGTTGCCATGTCCCCTTCCTTTCTTTCGACAGAGCGTGGGCCAAGGCCCGCCCGAAGAGTCAGTAATCTAAGGTCAAGAGGGTATTAGCGCACTCACTAGCCACCGCAAGCCCGCTTCGAGTACCAAAACCTCGGCCTCGAATGCAGATGCGAGCCCTTGAACCGGCTCCTCTTCTCTCCGCAGCGTGCTGTACTTGTACCGGCCGCTGTCCCCGCCCCCAGAGGCGTGCAAGACAGCGAAACCAATGGCGCCTTCGCCGTTGCGCCGTAGGCCGCCGTCGGTACTCAAGCGCAGATTGCGCTTGCTAACGACCCCTGACATCACGTCCTCTGGCACGCACCTTGACCCGTCCCGTGGCAGGTCCTTGACACGTCCACGCCACGTTGCCTGACACGTCCCCTGGCGCATCCCCTTGTGCGCCCCTGGCACATCCCGCGGCGCGTCCATGCGCCCTGCGCCCCGTGTCGTCTCGTCCCGCTTCCGAACTGAGTCGGATCTTGTGATCGAGCGGATTGAGCGTCCCACGCGTTTCGATTGCAACCAGCTCTGGGCCAGCTATGCGCTCAGGCAGCTCGAGCTTCAGATCCAGATCAGTGCGGTCAGGATTCGGATGCCAGGGACGACTTGATCCTCAACGCTATAGATCAAAAAACAATTCATCACGGCATGACACATCTCAATTCGGCACGGTACAACATCACGATCGATACACTCAGCATTGCAATTGGCCGTCGCCCAACCAGTTATCTTGAAAACGTTGTTACGCCTCGCATTTCAAGATTCTGCTCTAGATTCGTTGGTCGATCATGTTGTGCAAAGGTCCCTGTTTCCCTTCTTCGCGGAGGGGGGTATCACTGCTCTTTATTGATATACATCCCCTCCCCCACTCGACCCCGGCGACAACCCTGTGACCATGACGAGAGTTACACCACACACACCATCCATCGCGCCCAAAAAAAACAGCAGTGCACTTTACACCAACATCTAGATCA